GCCCGGGCCGCGGTGGGGGGGCGCCCGCCCCCGGGGCGGCAGGGAGCCCAGAGCCCGAGTCTGGCTCCGGCGCGGCCGGGAGCAGCGGTGGCTGGGCGGCCAGGTTTCGTAATAAACCGGTCTGTTAATTGCTATGGGGCAGCAGAAAGCGGGGGGCGGGGGAACAGGGATTTGTTGGGGTGGCGGCGCCGGCTGCAGCCCGAGGTGCTAATAAGGGGCTTAAGCCACACTTCCTCGGAGGGGGGTGGAGGCGGCGGCCGAGGCTGTGCGGAGGACGGGGTCCCCCACCCCCCAAGGCCCAGAGCACACAGGAGCCCAGACGTGGGTTAGAAGTTTATTACAAGGCTCGTCATCGGAGAAATAACAACAACAACAGCAATAACAATAAAACAACAACCCCGCCGTGGCTGCGCGGCAAAGTGCAAAGAAAACAACAAAATCCTGTAGATTGTCGGCTGGACTGGGGTCCGGCGTGAGTCTGGGGGCGGCCGGGGGGTGGGGGGCGTGGCTACCGGGACATCCCCCGTCCTGCCGCCTGCCCTCCCCCCAGGGTCAGCGCTGACCGGGGTCACCACCCCCGGCTCAGCCAAGTCCATCAGCCCGGCTCGCCGTGGAGAGAGTCCGGACCCTCAGCGATGGGGAGCGGGGGTGCCGCTGCCCCCCACCCCTTCCGTCTGTCCATCCGTCTGCCTCTGGGCTGGGGGGGTCCCCCTTCTTCCACTGGCCCGGGGGTCGTCCCCCTCCTCTCTCTCGCTCTCTTGGTGGCCTCTGTGGCTTGCTCCTGGCTGGCCACCACTGGCTGCTCCTCCTCCTCCTCCTCCACCGTCTCAGACTCGGCTCTCCCCCTCCCAAGTGCTCTCACGGGTGGCTTTGGGGGGAGGCCTCTTCTGGGAGGGGACAGGGGGGTCCAATAGGTATTTGGGTCTTGTTTGGTCTCGTTTTTGGCAGATCTCCTCGGACGCCGGCCCGGGGGGTGCCTCAGCGTTCCCGGAGCGAGATGTAGGGGACCCACTGGTTGTTCCCCCGACTCTCTTCGCAGTAGCTGGCCACCTCCACCAAGCCGTGGCTCTTCCAGGCGTCCGCGTGCGGGTTCTGGGCGGAGGCAGAAGGGAAGGAAGGGTTCAGTGGGTGTGGGGGAGCCTCCCTTCCCCGGGGGGGCCCTCCCCTCTGGCGTTGGGGGGGGACAGGCTCAAAATATCTGGCCGGGGCGCTGAGGCCCCGGTCAGGCCCTGCCCACGGGGCATGCCGGGCATGGCTGGGCGCTGAGCTGGTGCGGGACGGCCTGGGGGACCTGGCTGACAAAACACGGAGCCCAGGTGCCCGTGCAGGGCGGGGCCGGAGGGCCGGCCGACTCACCGTGACCAGGAGGCAGTGCAGGTCCCGGGCCTCGGCCGTACCCTGGGGTTCGGTGGGCTCGCCCAGCAGCTCGGCCAGCCGCTGCATGCCCGACACCCTCACGATGTCGATGTCATTGTCGCAGCAGAAGGACTGGATGAGCGTGAAGTGGATCTGCAGGGCGATGTCATCCTCTTCCTCCTCGTCGATGGCCAAGAGGCACAACACCACGCTGTCCGGGTCCCTGATGGGGGGGAGAGGGGGAGATCAGGTCAGGTGGGGTCCAGAGAGGGACCTCCATCCATGCACTGGGTGTGTGCGTGTCTGTATGCAAGGGGGGGGAGGGAGAGGGTTGCAAAGCAAAGGTGTGGGGGAAATGGGGGTGGGAAGGTGTTCAGGGGTTCAAAGCAATGGGGGCATGGGGGGGACCTTAATAAGACGGAGAGCCGGCAGCCCGTGCATGCAGGCAGGGGTCAAGATGCTGCGGCCCTCCCACCTGGAGCTGGGGATCCCCCCTTCACCCCCCCCCGCCGCTGCCTGTGGGGAGGGTCACGCACATGCTCGCAAAGGGTCGCCCCCACCCCGGGGGAGCAGGGGGTTCTGACTCACACATTCATCAGCTTGGCCGACTCGTACACCCCCACGGTGAGGCGATCGTGGCGCTGCGCGGCCACCAGCAGCTCCTCCACCGCCGCGGTCACCGTCTGCATCCTGCGACCAGGGCGGAGGGGGACAAGGAAGGGGTCAGCCTCCATCCAGGGCGGGACGCCGGGCGCCCGCCTGCCGTCCCTGCCGTCCGCCCGTCCGCCCGTCCCACACCCCGGCTACTCACTTCTGCGCCGCGTTGTCGCACGCCACGACCTCTTCCAGAGTCATATTAGCTCCACGACCAAGTTCCCAAGCAGAATTTGCAATCAAACCAAAATCAAGAAAATAAAAATGCGAGCCAGATAACCGAAAAAAAATCCCAAAACTTCTCGAGCAACCGGAACCGTTCGAGACTCTTCCAAGGGACAGCGAAGTCTTTTCCCCGAAAAGGGAAAAGAAAAGAAAAAGCGGAAAAAGCAATTGCAAAGTCCTGCAGTGAAATGAATAATCCAGAGGACGCTGGAGCGACGGCGGCGACCGGAGCTTCGGCGAACTGAGCTCCCGGCGGCCCAGCCGCGGCCTTTTATAGACGAGCCCCGCCGGCGGGAGGGGGCGTGGCTGCGCTGAGACACTCCCGCCCTCCCATTGGCGGAAAAACAAAGGCTAGAACAGCCAGCGCCATGATTGGCCGACGGCAGAGAGTGGGTGGAGCGCCGCGCGAGGGTGTCCCACGTGGGGGCGAAAGTCGGGAAGGGAGGAGGGAAGTGGGGGGGGGAGGGCTGACTGGAGAGCCCGAGACTCCCTTTTTCTCTTTTCTCTCCCCCCCCCCCCCGCTCCTGATTCCCGGCAGCCGTGCCGCGGCTCGGGGCGCGCGCGGGATTTCCAGCGCGCGAGGCGGCCTGGACTTTGGCGGAGTGGGGGGCGGAGCCTGGAATCCCCTCCGGGTCCCCCGGGGAGTCCCGGTGCGCCCTTCCCCGAGGCTGGGTCGGGGAGTTGCATGTTGGAGGCATTGGGGGAGCTCCATTTGCAGCTTTGATCCTTCTAGGGCAGCAGTATGGGGGTGATGGTCTTCCTTGGGTTCCCCACACACCCCCAACCCGCTTCCCCAGACCCTGGGTGACTTAATTTCCCTGGGGTGGGGGGGGAGGAAGGCCTTGTTGGGTTAAATAAAGCCAGGGACAAGCGTTCCATCAGTTTGCTGGTCGCCAGAGGGGTCACCCCCCAAAAAAAGTGAGGGCTTGCAGCAGGCAACCTCTGGGTCCCCCCCCCGCTCCCCCCCCGCCCTGGACGGATGCGCCCCGGCCCAATAGGAGCCCTTCAAATGACATCGGTGGGGGTGGGGAGGACACAGTCTCCGCTCAATCAGTGGCATCCAGGGGCCGTGATCGCCACGTGCAGGGGCTGCCGGACCCCGGGGCATCCCGGGGACCCCCCTTCCCGAGACCCGGCGCCCCCCTCGAGTTTCAGGGGGAAGGGTGGGAGACGCAGGTGGCACCAACTCGGGGCGCCCTGCCCCCTGCCGGCTGCTTCAGCTCGGCTCTGCACCCCGAAGTCCCGCCGGACCCCGCCAGGAGCCAGCGGGACGAACCCCGGCTTCTCCTTCGAATCCAACCCCCCCGGGAAGCAGGGGCGTGTGTGCGTGCGCGCATGCACGACACACGGGAGAAACTGAGGCAGGAGAGGCTGGCTTTTACTGCCCAAAGCCCGAGGGAGCGGGACCCCATACCACCCACGCGTGCACCCCGCACAGACACCCTCGGGGACGCCTTCCCACCCCCCCGCCTCTGGCGCGCTCCTCTGCAACCCGGGCACGCACTGACCCGCGTGGGGCTGTCTCCCACGGTCCATCGGGGGGCTCCCGGGTGACTCACAGCTGAGTCCCCTCCCCCGCCAGCCCGGGGCCTGGCCTCCGCCTCGCGCCTCGGCTCCCCCCCACCTCACCACCCCGGGGGCTGAGCAGCCTGCGGGCCGGGCTGACGCATCGCTGCGCCTCCGCACCGCCCACCGCGGGGGCGCGGAAGGTCCCCGGCGTGCGCGGCGCCGCGCTGCCACCTGGTGGCCACACGCGGTCACTACACCTCCCCTACCCGGCTTCCGGAAGGCCTGGGGGGGCGGGGGGGGGGGAGGCTCAGGCGTGCAGGATAACCGCAGTGTTTTATGCAAATAAAATATAAAGGCAGTGATATATATATATATATATATTTTTTTTTTTTGCCAGTCCTGGGGCTTGAACTCAGGGCCCGGGCGCTGTCCCTGAGCCTCTTTTGCTCAAGGCTAGCACGCCACCCCTGGAGCTACCGCGCCACTTGAGGCTTTTTCTGAGTAGTTTATTGGAGATAAGAGTCTCACCGACTTTTTTGTCCAGCTGGCTTTGAACTGTGATCCTCAGATCTCAACCTCCTGAGTGGCTAGGCTTACAGGAGTGAGCCACTGGCACCCGGCTTTATATACAGTCTTTTACACATACATTCCATTTTATAGTTGTAATGTTTAGATATTCAAATCAACACACCATTGCCTGAGCCCCTTTTGTTATTCTTTTTTAAAATATACATATGATTACAGTAACTTAATAGTATGTCATTTAGTGGCAATAAGTATGTTTACAGTGTCGTGTTAAACCAGCACCACTACCAAATCCACAACTTTACCATCATCCCTAAAAATAAATCATTTTCCTCTCTTGCAGCCCCCAAACTGCTGATCTCCTTTCTGTGTCTTGAAAGTTGCCTGGGTTCCAGGACCCTGGCTTACTTCATTCATGTGATGTGCTCAAGCTTTATCCAGTTTAGAGCCTTCTTTTTCATGGCTGAGTAATATTGCATTCTATGGATAGGCTATGCGGTGTGTCTGCTTTGCCCTAGCTGGGAGAAGTTAGCAGGTTTTGGAAGCCTGCTTTCAAGAACAGAGAAGGGCTGCTTTTGTGAAGACAAGGACTCCCTGCAGGACTGGAGGCAAGGCTCAAGTGGTAAAGCACTGCCTGTGATCAAACAAGCAAAGAGACAGCACAAGACCCCGAGTTCAAATCTCAGTACTACCCCGGTCCCAGTGGCTCATGCCTGCAATCCTATCTACTCAGGAGGCTGCGATCTGAGGATTGCAGTTCAAAGCCAGCCAGAGCAGAACAGTCTGTGAGACTCTTATGCCAATTAGCCACCAGAAAACCAGAAGTGGCGCTGTGGCTCAAGTGGTAGAATGATTGCCTGGAGAAAAAAAAGACAAAAGCTCAGGGACAGCACCCAGACCCTGAGTTCAAGCCCCAGGACTGGCAAGAAACAGAAACAAAAACAAAACAAAAAAAAAAACTTGGTAATATCGACTGGGAAGGTAGCCTAGTGGTAGAGTGGTTGCCTAGCATGCATGAAGCCCTGGGTTCGATTTCTCAGTACCACATACACAGAAAAGGCCAGAAGTGGCGTTGTGGCTCTAGTGGTAGAGTGCTAGCCTTGATAAAAGAAGCTCAGGGACAGCACCCAGACCCTGAGTTCAAGCCCCAGGACTGGCAAGAAACAGAAACAAAAACAAAACAAAAAAAAAAACTTGGTACTGGCACGCGTGCGCGCGTGCGCACACACACACACACACACCACACACACACACACCACACACACACACACCACACACACACACCACACACACACACACCACACACACACACACACACACACACACACACAGAGTCACAACTACGCACTCCTATTCCAGAAGAAAATAAATACCCTCGGAACACAACATTCAAATTAAAACAATGCCCAAGTTAACCATAGTGAGCTAGGCAGTAAAATATTCAATCAAGCCAGGAGAGAAGCCCAACATGCGGCTCACGCCTATAATCCCGCCTATTGCAGAGACTGAGAGGACCACCGTGCTAGATCAACCCAGGCAAAACGCTCACCAGATCCTTTTTTTTTCTTTCCTTCTTCTTTTTCTTTGCCAGTCCTGGGGCTTGAACTTAGGGCCTGGGTGCTGTCCCTGAGCCTCGTTGTGCTCTCAAGGCTAGCACTCTACCTCTTGAGCCACAGTGCTACTTCCGGCTTTTTCTGTGTATGTGGTGCTGAGGAATCGAACCCAGGGCCTCATGCATGCTAGGCGAGCACTCTACCACTGAGCCACCTTCCCAGCCAGGCCTTGGGTTCTGGCTTTGCATTTTTTATGCTCAAGGCTGATGGTCAACCACTGAGCCACAGCTCCACTCTCAGCTTTTTGCTGGGTAAGAGACCCTGCCTCATTAAACTGAAGAAGGGGGTTGTGTGGCCCCTCTTGCTGTCTGGGAAGGGCTCGGGCTGTCAAAGTGGAAAGAGTCCAGAGTTTACCTCTGCCCTGTCTGAAAGAGACTAGAACTGGGTACAGACACTTCCTGGCTGTCTACCACTTGTGGCTGCCTGGGTTTAATCCCAGTTCCTCCTTGAGCAGCAGCCTGGGCCCTTCTGTGCCTCAGTTTCCCCCTTGGTAATCTAGAAAAATAACTTCCCATGAGTAGGAAGTTAAGTCCCAGGTACATTTAGAAGTGTGTGTGTGTGTGTGTGTGTGTGTGTGTGTGTGTGTGTGTGCACGCCAAGCCCTTGGCAATGGGGAATTATCTCACTTCCGGGCATTGATGGGGGGGGAGGGGGCTGATGGGGGTTCCTACCGGTGTGGGTGGGTGGGGTGGTGGCTGCTTCCCACAAGGCAATCAGGGTGGACTTCTTGGGGGAGGTGACATTTAAGCTGAGCCCTAAATGGTCTGAAAAAGCCAGGCTTGATTGGCTCTCTGAGAGAAAGGTGTTCCAGATAGAGGGAAATGACCTGTGCAAAGGCCCTGGGGCAGGGTGGGACCGAGCCCATTGGAAGAGACAGGGAGCTGGGGGAAGGGGCGGGCTTCCTTGTGCAGGCTGGGGAGATGGGTCTGGATGGGTCCCTGGGAGTGGCCCAGAAGCTGCTAGCATGGTTGAAACTGGGGAAGGGCTGGGCTCTGACATCAGTGTTTTCTTTGTGCAGATGAACAAGACTCTGATTCCTGTCCCTGTGAAGAGGCTTCCTGGTGGGGGTGAGTCAGCCCAGAACCTCCAGACGTTTGTAAGACAGGAAGAGCAAGGGGGGGGGAGGGGAGGGGGCGGGGAGACACCCCAAGCCAGGTGTTGAGACCAGAGAAAGGGCTAGGGTGATAGAGCAGCAGGAGGAAATCATGGGAATTGTGACTGATTCCTAGCAGTGGGGCTGTAGGAAGGCTCAGCTCCCGGCCCAGCTCTCCTGGTTCAGCCTATCTGCTTAGCCAGGCCAGGTGACTCATGTCTGTAATCCCAACGACTCTGGAGGCAGAGAGGGAGAGAATCACTACCCTGGGTAAGGGGGCAGAGAAGAAGGGGAGATGTTAGTAAGACCCCACCCCATCTCCACCCATCAGCTGGATGTGATGGGACGGGCCTGTAATCTCAGTTTATGTAGGAGGCTGAGGTTGGAGGATCACCATCTGAGGTCAGGCTCCAGAGGCAAACTTGAGACCCTACTTGGAAAACAGCTTTGGAAAAAAAGAAGAAGAAAGGTTGGGGTGTGACTCAGGTAGCACCCACGCCTGTCTAGAAAGCAGAGACCAAAAAAGAAAAAAGAAAACAACAACAAAAACCACCTCTCTCACACACACACCAAATCTCTCCTACCTGCAGCCATTCACCAGCTGTGCATCCTCCAGTCCATGCCTTAACCTCTCTGAAAGTCCTGCTTTGGATGGGAAAGTTAAGTTGTGCAAAGGTTTACACAAAGCAAAGATATCAAATGGCTTTAAATGCAGGGGGAAGGGGAGAGAAGGGGCCAGAAATGCTGTTTGGCTCCTGCAGAAATGGTTCCTCCCATCCCAGCCACCATGGTTACTATGACAACCTCGGGGCCCGCCCCTTCCTCCCTGCCTTTCCATCCACCACTTTCCAGCCGGAGTCACCCCACATCCCCTTGTCCTTCCTTTGCCCCCCCCACCAAAATGATCTCGCAGGCCAGCTGGGCGCTGTGGGCTCGTGCAGTAATCCTAGCTGCTCAGGAGGCTGAGATCTCAGGATCATGGTTTGAAGTGGGCTCCAGCAGGGAAGTCTGGGAGACTCATCTCCAATGAATCACCAAAAAAGGTGGCAGTGGAGCTGTGTGTGGCTCAACTGGTGGAGTAGGATGGCGTCCAGGCCCTGAGTTTAAGCCCTACTACAGGAAGGAAGGAGGGAAGCAAGGAAGGAAGGAAGGAAGGGAGGGAGGGAAAGGAAGGAGAAGGAAAGAAGGAAGGAAAAGAAAATGCAGAGCATCGTAGTTCACACCTATAATCCCAGCAGCAATCAGGAAAATCCAGATTCCAGGCCAGTGAGACCCTTTCAAAACGATGAACTGGGGCTGGGAAGGTGGCTCAGTGGTAGAGCGCTGGCCTTGCATGCATGAGGCCCTCCGCACCACATAAGCAGAAAAAACCAGAAGTGGCGCTGTGGCTCAAGTGGTAGAGCGCTGGCCTTGAGCTGAAGAGATGAGGGACAGCACCCAGGCCCAGAGTTCAGGCCCCATGACTGACAAAACAACAACAAAAAAAATCTGACAGACTTTCCTGCCCAGGCTGGCTTTGAACTGGGATCCTCAGAGTATCCTCAGAGCTCCTCCTGAGTAGCTGCGATGACAGGTGGGGGCCACTGCACCTTCCTGCCTTTGCTTGGCATCTTCTTAACAACCATGCACTCACGTATTCTTTTTCTTCTCTTATCTTGCCGGTTGTGGGGCTTGAACTCAGGGCCTGGGCGCTGTCCCTGAGCTGCTTTGGATTCAGGTTAGCACTCCACACTGTGAGCCACAGCTGCACTTCCGGTTTTCAAGTGATTCATGGGAGAGAGGAGTCTCAAGGACTTTCCTGCCTGGGCTGGCTTTGAACCGCGATCCTCAGATCTCAGCCTCCTGAGTAGCTGGGATGACAGGCGTGCCAAGGCCTGGCCCATGCACTCATTTCTTTCTTTTTCTTGTCAGTCATGGGGCCTGAACTCTGGGCCTGGGCTCTGTCCCTCAGCTCTTCAGCTCAAGGTTAGCGCTCTACCACTTGAGCCACAGCGCCACTTCCGGCTTTTTTCTTTTTGCTTATGGGGGTGCTGAGGAATCAAACCCAGGGCCTCATGCATGCAAGGCAAGCGCTCTACCACTGAGCCAACTTCCCAGCCCCTTCCTTCCTTCCTTCCTTCCTTCCTTCCTTCCTGCCAATCCTGCGGCTTGAACTCAGGGCCTGGGCTCTGTCCCTCAGCTCTTCAGCTCAAGGTTAGCGCTCTACCACTTGAGCCACAGCGCCACTTCCGGCTTTTTCTGCTTC